AAAGGAGTTGGAAGGAGAGGGGAAACGGGCATCACTAATGTGCGGGCAGAGCTGCAAGGAGACTGAACAGCCATCTGACCACCTCTGTGCCCAGGACAGGGCAGAGCCTGGCTGTCAGGGAAGAGGAGGCTCCTCCAGGGCTTCGAGCTTCGCCAGCACCCAGACTGACCTCATGGACATTTACTCCATTGCCTCACTGATCCTACTCAGACCAGAGAGGTGAAAAATACACACATGTGCAACAGACTGTGGCATGAATATAGTGCATTCCTCCAGAGAGCTGGGGGAGAAGAGAATGAAGAGGAAAATCCCCAGGGCTATGAGCAGCTGCAGACATTTGCTGTTTTGACATCAGCTGTTGTGAACAGGCCCGGGCAGGGGGGGAGATTGTGAACCAGTGGGAACAAGGGTATGGCCAGAGCCTGTTAGTACACTAGGCTTGCTCACCCCCAAGGAGGGAGCAGGGGGCGGGATGCTAACCTCAGGTCTAAGAGAGGGTACACCTCCAGATGACCTGATTCTCTCTTTTTTTCCCTGGAGGAACAAAGACGCGACAGGTACAGCCTTCCCCACCACTGGAGATCCAAGGGAGCAGGCCGAGAGAAGGCCAGGCCCGGACAGAGGGGCGGGCGTACTCCCCAGGCCCGGCATGGCCACACAGCGCATCGGGCACAGCCACTAGGTCAAAGACAGAGGCATGACCCAAACCTGGCCCGCGGGACTCGGTCTCTGCAACTACTACCAGGACAGGCTCCCGTCCTGCTGGGGTCGCCGAGCTGGGGGAATGGAGCCAGGGGCTGCTGGAAGAGAGTGGGGCTGAGAGACAGGAGGGTCGAGAGAGACTGCTCGGAGCAACATCACGTACAGCCTTGACTCTGGTGCGCCCGAGGGCATCCTGTGGGCCCAGGAGTCCCCACCTCAAATGTACTTTTTATTCTGCCCAACAGAATTATTCAGCTACTTGGAGCCAGAAAAGTGCAAACGAGGATAATCAAGGTTGCCACAACAGTGGCACAAAACTGAAAAAAGGTTCACGTTATGTTTTCAGAGAAAAGCCAAGGGCAGAAATGACCAAGAGATGCGCCAGGGACACAGGCACTGGGAAGTGGGCCACGCTGCTTTCTAAAGGTAAAAACAGAAGCAAGGACTGTCGGGCATTTTATAAATTCAGTCTGCAGAAATTGTAGCAATCGGTGACAAGACTCCCAAGAATGGGGGCTGTGTGCCAGCCTCTTTTTTTTTTTTTTTTTTAAAGATTTTATGTATTTATTTGAGAGAGAGACAGCAAGAGAGGGAACACAAGCAGGGGGAGCGGGAGAGGGAGAAGCAGGCCTCCCGCCGAGCAGGGAGCCCGATGCGGGGCTCGATCCCAGGACCCTGGGATCATGACCTGAGCCAAAGGCAGAGGCCCAACGGCTGAGCCACCCAGGCGCCCCCAGCCTCCCCTTTTTGGGGACACCTTTTGCAGCCACAGGGAGGCCACACGGGGCCACATGCTCTGCTGCGGGACTGATGGCTGTCCCCTGGGCTGACTCTGGAACAGGCATCCTGGTTCCCAGAAAGCTTGCGCCAGGGCAGATCATGTCACTGAATGGAAACTGACCGGTGGGGTATTCGGCACACACTGGCTCAAACTGAAAATATGGACCCATTTTTACCAGTTTTAAATACATTAATACACTGAATCTTTACCACAACCCTGGCAGATACAGTTATCTCTATAGCGAGGGAAAGAAAGGCACAGAGAGGTGATGCAACAGGCCCATGATCACAGTCGGTCAAAGATGTCAGGACTCAAACGTTGGCAGAAGGACCTTAGAGCCATGTTCTGCCTACAGGTCTGTCCTCCTGTGTGGATCCTAAGAGGCACGAGACATTGGTCAGTGAAAGGATTAAGTCTCCTGGGCTTGGAAAAATCATTCTCTGGAATGAAAATGTACCAGAGTCCACAAACTACATTCACTATTCATCATCTCAACCTAACCCTTCACAGAAAGAGACTAAATGAACTTTTCTTACCACTAACGAATCAGCCAATTTAAGATAACGGTGAAAAATCACACAATAAACTTGGCAATGCTAGTATGCGATTATACCATCTCTCCATTTCATGCCACATTTACAAATGCAAACAGAAGGAGTGGTCCAAACTGAAACTTTGAAAAAAAAATAAATCATGAAAGCGTATTTCCATACATCTCACAGCAAATGTGCAGAAAATCGTTATAGGAAACATTCAAATTACAGATGACCAAATTGTACAAATCCCACCAACTTAAATCATGTTTTAACTCGATTCTGCCAATAATCTGCCCTGTGACTTAGACAAACCCACGGATGCCCAAGTCTCTCGAACTTTAGAGGTCCAGAGCACTAGCTCAGGCAGCAACCTGACAATGGTCTGAGCTGATGGCATCAGCAGATGGCAGAGAATTCTCGGCCCCGGGGCCTCCCACCATCTCCACAAGATAGGCCTCCCTATCTCCTCGCTTTGTAACATTTGCAGCCAGCTAATACCAACTCAGACCCTATTAGTGCCCCGCCCTTTACACACACACACACACACACACTTTTAAAAACCTAATCATCTTCCCCTTTGCATGTAGCTCTTACCTGTTACTTTAAAATAATAACCCTCCCTCTATTCCCTCTGCAAGGCTCAACCAGAAAGGTTAGAAAATGGCATCAATGGTGAAAAAAAAAAAAAAAAAAAGTATTTCAGAGACTGAATCCCTTGCAATATTAACCATGGGGATTCTGGAAGAGGGGATTATGTTCTTTCCGATGTATTTTTTAAAAATTTTCTCTAGTTAGCAGGTATTACTTTTGCAATGAAAGGAGGGATGGGAATGAAGGAAACTTAACTTTGGGGGAAAATCCTAGGTAAGATGTAGGAGAACAGTGTGCCAATGATAATCCTAGGGTAAGGAATAGGAAACCTAACTTATTATGTGAACTTAGACTTAATAAAGAAACAGGGCCATCAACCTCTAAAGCCTTTAAAAATACCATGATCACAGAAAAGCCGTCCCCACAAACATTATTTAACTTCTTCCGATTAAACCAGCTTTTCTTTAGAGAAACTCAACCTGCGTCTAAGAGAAACTCATTTTTTTTTATTAGGTTTGTTTAAATACTAGTGGTCTTACAATATAATTTTCTATTTTAAGTGTTCGTTTTAAGTGTAAGTCATTTCAACCAGATGCAAGTGTAACAGGCATTTGTTACTTCTCAAAATGTATTCCATTCACTTAGAATCTTCTGGAAGAGGAGTCGGCAAACTTCTATAAGATTCCAGACAGAAAATATCTTAGGCTTTGTGGGCCTGACGGTCGGATGCAGGTGCCCCGCTCTGCAGCACAAAAGCAGTCATAAATAATATGTACACAGGAGGTGTGTTCTAATAAAACTTTATTTACAAAAACAGTCTGTGGCTTATAGTTTACCAGCCCATTTCTATGCCAGAAGAGCATACAAAGAAATGGGGATTAGGCAAGAGGCCCAGCCTTGATTTGTCCTAATTCCTAATCACAAATAAAATGTCTGGTGTCCAATTCAGTATTATGATAACGAGAAGTTTAGGTATTCTGAAACTGAACATGGGTATTTTGGTGACCAAAAGGGTTTAATCCCAGTTCTAATTTAGCCAATTGACAATACAATCTCAATCAACTTCGGGTAAATCTGAGCAAGCTGGCTTCCTCACTCCGTAGGGCACACAATGCTCCACTCTGCACAAATGGGAGACTGGGGACCTGGTGGTTTGTATAAACAAGGCTTAAAATCTGCCGTACTCCTAAGATTCCAACAGACCAAGCATGGGGGAGAATCCAGAGAGTAAAAACAACATGCTACCTCTCGTGTCCAATCTACGGTCAATACAAAGTGTGCTTTTCAATGTTTGGTGCAGATAAGCCAACCTCACTGGGCTCATGATCAGTACGTCCACATCATTTTGCAGTTCTGTACAAATGATAAGGGGTTGACCACCCTTTTCACTTGCCTTATCACATGAAAACAGTCAATCTGGCTACTCTTTGGCATCAAAGCTCATAATCAGACTTGGCAACGAACACAAACCAACTAATAAAATTGAAATTGGCTTCCTCCCACCCAACCTGAATCAATCTCTGCTCAATTCTAAGACACTGATATCTCCACTTGGTTGAGATGGGACTGGACCAGGGCTGGCCCTGCTTGGGGAAGACTTACTTAACTATCTTTGATCTTGAAGAAGGCCAGGTTGAGGCCCGCAGGGAGATGAGGCAGGTGAACAGTAAAACCAAGTTACGGTCTCAGCTCCAAAGCCAGCACCTCTTCCCCCCTCCCCAACCCAGGATCTTGGGGCCAATACAAGCTTGTCCCACTTTGGGCACGTGACAGAAAGTCTTTCTCAGCATTTTTTCTACCTCATGTGTTCTTAAAGGGGGAGATATCACCCCCAAAGAGACAAAAACTGGTTCAGTGGGGGCAAAAAATAAATCTTAGCTTACACAAAGGTTTGTGGCCCTCTGAAGGGCCACAGAACATAAACAGATACACAGTCTCTCTCTGATGTTAAAATTGTATGTGGGGGGCAATTAGGGAAAAATGTTTCAAAGATTCCTGCATGGGGCAGGGGTGGAGATAATGGAAAAGAGGTTAAGAAACACAGTTGTACCCCCCTCCTCAGTTTGGAGTATGTGGGTGTGTTATAATAACCAACCACCAACAATTTTTCCGCTAGGTCAGAACACTTACTAGCAACAGGACCGCAAGAGGGCATCAAAAGAAATCTGTTCTAACGGATTCCTGGCAAAACAAGGTTGGTGGGTTTACTTCCTGTCTAATGGGGAAGGCAAGCTTGCCGGGAAGAGATGCTCGCTATGGCACACGGGGTCTGAGGCAGAGATGCTCTCCCATCTGCCTGAAAGCCTCACCCCCAAGGACAGAAGGGCAGTTTTGAGGACCTTTGATGCAAAAAGCAGATCAGAGACCACTAGAGCCCCGCGAAGGGTCTGGATGGTACAACACAGATGCCATGATAGGAAAGATCCAGGAGAACAAGGAACTGTACCCGCTTGCGGAGCCTCCCCCACTTCTCACAAAGGTAAGCAAATGCTTCTCACGTCACCCCTTCTTTTGTCCAGCATCTGTGAAGAAATATGTACACACATATGGGGGAAAGGGGACTATCTGCTATCCTTAAGAAAAAAAAAAAAAAAAGGAATCCATTCTAAGCCTATACTTGCGCTATTTCAGTTACCTCCCTTCTCACACCTCAACACGATTCTGCACAAACCTCATCTCCTCACCCTCCCCACCATTCAAAATTATCTTACTTCTTTGTATTAATTCAATACCTATCTAACGTATTTTTTGGGTACCTACTGTTTACCAGGCATTGTAAGACGTGCTGGAAATACTTGTGAACAGGACAGATGCTACCCTCGCCCTCAAAGAACATACTCTGCCAGAATGAATGACCTAACTATAGATTTTATAATGTTAAATAAATATACAGCTTTTCAGGGCATTAAGTGCACAAGTGCAGGACTTCAAACTCTCTTTAAGGGACGCCTGGGTGGCTCCGTCGGTTAAGTGTCCCAACTCTTGATTTGGGGTCAGGTCATGATTTCATGTCATGAGATCAGGCTCTGTGCTGTAAGATGCCAGCCCCCTCTCTCCCTCTGCCCCCGCCCCCCCAGTCATGCCTGCAGGCACACTCACTCTCTAAAAAATAAAAAATAGGGGTCCCTATTTTTTATTCTAGAAATCCTTTTAACAACTTTTATTCCTTATTTACCCTAGAGCAGTAATTTTCAAACGATGGACCAAGGTCAGGAACGTAATTTCTGAAAACACAAAACAGAATAAAAATATTGGAATTCATCCCACTTAGTAGTGTTTTGTGGATCTTTTGTTCCAGTTATATGCGTATGTCTCTGCGTGCCTGCATCATTATACAAACTGTAATAATTTACTATTGCCAAAAAAGTGTCTTTTCACATCCATTCCAAGAGAATAACCCTCAACAGCTGAAATTTAACTCTGTATCACGGTCATAATTCAATTACACCCTTAGAGCCCTCACTGGACTTCTTGAAGGAAACACAAATTACACATACTCTGATTACTTTGGCCAAGAAACACTTTGTGTAAAGCAACTCTTTTGACCCTTTTCTTATTTCTTGTATTTACTAATCTTCAATTGCAACAGCTGGCAACAGCTAAGAGTTTTCTCTGGGCGGTAACCACAGGTGCCCAGATTCTCTGCGAAGGTCTGCCCCGCATACGACAACCGCCCCCACCCCACCCCCGACCCCGAGAGGCAAGCTCGGTCGGCTACAAGGGGTCAGCGTCGCGTGTTTGGGGACACGGAGATAGATGCATCCTGGGCAAACTCGTGGCAGCTAATTTAATTACCTGCAGTCTCCGGGCTTAAGCGGAGTGCTTATTCCTGAGAGAGTAAAAACGGAAACCATTAAGAATAAACTATTTAGAAGAGAGACAGGCGCAGGTGCGACAGGTGCGGTTCAGACGCGATTCGCCGGCGCGCGACGGCCCCCCATTCCGGCCCCATCGCCCCGGCTCCTCCCGGTTCCCGCCCCCTGGGCAGAGCGGCGGGGCGCGGGAAACCTCCCTCCGTGATTTTCCAACCGGGATTGGATTCCAGGTGCGGCCTGGGGATCCCACCCGCCGAGCGTCTACAGCAGCAGCCCCCCACCCAAGCCCCCGGGACGGCAGGCCAGCGCCCGCCGCCCCGGCCCCCCGGTCCCCGCGGGGACCCCCCCGTCCCGCCCGGGCCCGGCCAGCCCAACTATGGCTCCTTGGAGACCAGGCATCCCGGCCGGGGGGCCGCTCTGGGTCCCTGTAGGTCCCTACCGCCCCACGCCGCGCTGAGCCCGAGACGAGCCGTGGGACGCGCGCGCTCCCGAGAGCACTCACCTTCCAGGTGCCCAGCCCCATGATGGGCATCTTGGCGCCGGTGTAGAGCACGAGGTGGCTGGCCATGACTGCTGCGCTCCTCCGACCCGCTCCCGAGGACCACGCCGCGCCAGCTGCGGCGCAGGCCTTTAAGTAGCGCGTGAGGCCCGCAGGAAGGGCGGGTCCGACGGACGCGCGGCTACGCGAAGGCGGCTTCTGATTGGCCGGCCCGCGCCGAGGCTGGGGCGCCGCAGCCCGGGGGGCTCGGCGAGGACGCGCCTTCCGCTAGGTCCCCGAGGGCCCGGATTCTTGCGGCTCGGCTCGCTCGCCCACGCCCCACCTGGCGGCGGCGGTGGAGAGCGCACCAGGCAGGGCGGCACGTTGAAACCAGAGTGCTTCAGCGAAAAGTACCAGACATCCATAAATAAGTAGACTGGGAAGGAGTTCGGGTTTTATTTTTTTTAAAGGAGCCCCGAAGGATACATTTGTCTGTTGTCCAAGCCAGAGTCGCGCTCTTTGAGAACTGGACCAATGTCTTATCATCTGTAGGAATCATACTGACGACAGGTACAGTTTAGCAGCGCACTTTGCTTTTAGAAAGGTGCATATCAGAGAAATGGCTTGCAGTCTTGTTGCAGAACACCTACTGGAGACTGGAGTTTACACAGCTTGTATGTAGGCCCTTAGGGCTATCTTGGCATCCCACCCTAGGTGCGAGTTTTGTCTGTACCACTGAGTGTGGTTGAGCAAGCCTTCCTCAAAAGCCAGCTTCTCTTGAGGTTAGGAATCCCTGATGAGCTTGGTCCAGAACCCATGGATGGCATCAGGTCTTCAGAAAATAAGACTATCAAACCAAGTTTCAATAACGAAACTTCTAGAGTGAAAAGGCAGAAACCCACCGAAGAAAAGTTAACTTTAATATTGTAGCTTCAAGTATTTCAAATTAGGAGGTGCTAAATAATAAATTGATCAGCCCTGTCAGCCAAGAAGACATTACTTTCCAAGACACCCAAAAGTTGCTGTAAAGAGCTTTGAAGACAATTTTGGTTTCTTTTCAACAACCTCTCTCTCTGATTCTCTGTCCTACCCCAAACCTGCTCTTTTTGCTCCATCACCCTCTAATCTTTCCTAATTATGCACGATTGGGAATTACGTCTGCAGGGCAATGACTCAAGAACCAGACCTCACTAAACTCCATTCTGGTGATTTTCCACTTGGTGACTTCTAAAAAGTGCCCCCTAGGAAAAATTTATACACAACAGACTAGCCCAGATACTTTTCCATTTGACCTTTATAAAAACCTGCTAATTGGCAAACTCTGATGCTATTTGTCCTCACATAATGGAATTTTAATTAGAACTTTCAGCTGGGAACTTGGTTTGTAATAAAACAGCAGTAGCCTAACATTCTTCATTCATAAGATTTCTGCTGACAGATTATATCCAAAGGTTGCTGTCCAAGGGGCTAGACCCTTGGGAAAACGATAACACCTTAAATGACCAGTTTGGTATACACAGAGGGCTCATCTGTTAGGGACATGGACTCAGTATGAAGGTCTTGCTGTTTCTATGACGACTGAGGATGGAAGCTGACTGCATGAGGGTATAGCTAAAGTTTTGACTTGGGAGTATTCTGTGTGGGTTATGCAAATGTGAAAAGTCATACCTGGGGATCTTCTATAGCAAAAATAGTACTATCACCAGGACATATTGTGATAGTCTCCTAACTGCCCCACGGCCAGTGTCAGCTTTGTAAGAGGCCATCGTGCACGTGTCAAAATTATGCTTCAAGAAACATTCTAGCATTTCGTATCAAGAGCAGTAAGAATCTTCATGTTCTGAACCAGTAATCTTATCTTGAAGAAATCGCGTAAAAGCAATACGTTTGCGCATGCGCACAGGCAGGCTAGCCCTGGGGCTGGGGATATGGGAGGTGAGCTGTCATTCAGATACAGCCTGGATGCAAGCACCTCCTTAAACTTGACACCCAAGGGCACTTCACTTGCCGTGTTGTGTGTGTGTGTGTGTGTGTGTGTGTGTGTGTGTGTGAAACAGTTCTAGCCACATAAAGTAAAACTGTAAGTGTCCAACTATGACAATAAATGCAATGTAGCCATCAAAGACAATATATAGAGAAAAGTGTACCTGAAATAATACGAAGGTGAAAGTAGAGAACAAAATTGTAAATACGGCCTCATTATAAGCATAAAAGAAAGCATGTCCCATATAGATAAATTTAGGAAGAAGCCAAAGGAAATGGGAATGTTGTTTGTCAGACTATCATTAATTATTTTTTTTTAAAGATTTTATTTATTTATTTGAGAGAGAGAATGAGAGAGAGAGAGCACATGAGAGGGGGGAGGGTCAGAGGGAGAAGCAGGCTCCCTGCCGAGCAGGGAGCCCGATGCGGGACTCGATCCCGGGACTCCAGGATCACGACCTGAGCCGAAGGCAGTCGCTTAATCAACTGAGCCACCCAGGCGCCCCCAGACTATCATTAATTAAATGCGTTTTGCAACTACAAGACACTTTCCTATTAACTCTCTGATTCCCATAGGATACAACTTAAACTCCTTAGGCTGGCATTCAGGGTCCTGTGACATCTGGTATAACTGTGAATATATGAAAAACCACCAAATTGTATACTTTAATGGGGTGAATATTATGGCATTTGAATTATATCTCCATAAAGATGTTACAAACAAACAAATGTATAAAGGTTATGTGAGATCTGTCCAACCCAGGCCGGTGGGGTAAGGGGGGGCAGTAGGCTCAAGGACCCAGGCTACAGGTTCTAACGACATTGTTTCACTGCTGTCCCAATCCAAATCTTCAGGCTCTGCCTCAGGGGAGCCAAAGAGCACTGGAGAGTCTCAAATGAGCGCTTAATTGTTCGGGCCTGGAAGTGGGACACCTCACTTCTCTCTACAGCCTACTGGCCGGACCTATTCAGGGGGTCCCGTTTAGCTTCACTGGGATGGGGAAATGTCGCCTTCTTATGTGCCAGAAAGCAGAGGAGAACAGAATGTAGTAGAATACAGTAAGTACCGGAAGTCTCTTCCACAATGACAAACAGCTATTGAGCCTTTATTATATTTCGGGCACAGTCTTAGGCCCTTTACATACATTATAGGAAGGTGTTGCTGTTGGTACTGCAGCTGGTAATAATATAATAGCTCACATCTGTTGAGCTTGCTATTCTATAAGCATGGTATGCATCAAATCACTTAATTTTCATAGCCACCTTTGCAGTGGGTACTATTATTAATTCATTTTACATATAAGGAAACTGGGCACAGAGAAGAGAGGTAAATTGCTAAGGTCTCATAGCAAGTAAGTGGCATAGTCAAGATTTAAACCTGAGGAGTTGGACAATAGTACCCACACTCTTAGCCACCGCACTGGTGGCTTTCAGATGATTTTACTGGGACTCATAGTTACACATACTGTACACATGTATGTAGATAGAACAGAAACAAAATATTGACAAAGTAATTCTCATCCTTATGATGTATGGCATACTCTGCTATTGCACATTCTGGATTTTTTTTTAAAGATTTTATTTATTCATTTGACAGAGAGAGCAAAACAAGGGGAAGGGAGAGGGAGAAGCAGGCTCCCCGTTGAGCAGGGAACTGGATACGGGCTCGATCCCAGGACCTGGAGATCATGACCTGAGCTGAAGGCAGACGTTTAACAGGCTGAGCCACCCAAGTGCCCCATATTCTGGATTATTTTAGTGCTGCTTTCAATCATGATTCACTCCTGGTTCCACAGTACATGATTTCATGACCCACTAGCAGATCATGGCTTGAGGATTGGAAAACCTCTGCCTTCCATCCACTCTGTGGTCTTGCCACTACTCCTCATCTCAGGTGGCAGGAAAACTATGACAGCCACATGCAAGGGACATGATGCTAGCTCCAGGAGAAATCCACAGCGGGAGCCTTTCTACCATGCCCGCAAACTGTCTTTCTCCCCATCCCTGCCCACTCCATCCTTCTGTACCCTCGGCCAAGCAGTCCTAACTATAGGATGAGAGCTAAGACTGGTCCTTTGGTAGGTAGAAGCAGGGAGAGGTAATGAGGCAAAAGAGAAAGTGTGGAAGCCGTAAGAACAGGACAGAGGGCTCAGCCCCTGCCGGGGAGAGGGGGTTGGCCTTAAAACCTCAGGGACTGGTCAACTGAGAAGCTGGCTCCAGGGTGTCAATATTTATTCGTATTTGTTTGCGAGCTGAAGTTTAGATGGCAAACATCATTGAGAGAATTATCAATATTAACCTTCCTCATAGATACTGGAGAATGATAGCAACACCAAAAAAAAGGTGGGGGGGGAATAAGGAGAAGCAGGAGAAGGAGAAGAAGGAGAAAAGAAAGAAAAACCTTTTGTCACTTTTAGCACAGCTATCCAACACGTTCTTGTAAATAATAACATCCACTATTTTCTGGGTACCTTCCATGCTTAGGCACTTCAAACACATTGCTTGACTTTATCCTTACGAACTCCTGGAAAAGACATGACCCCATAGCTTTCCCA